ATAAGATTTGTTATTTTTCGATTGTCAGAAACATTAGTCTCTCTTATAATTCGCCTATCCTTTTCCTTTTTAATTTTTCATTATTATTCGCAACAGTAAAAAGTAAAAAATTCAGTGTAAATCATTTCTCTGTTGCACCAGAAAATTGTTCATTGAGCAGTGCCTAGAACAGGATTTAGTGCTTTAGTTTTCATTGTTTAATTAGTCAAATTCGCAAAGCGTACGAAGGTTTATAACGACTAAAATTAAAAGAATCAATATATAGTTCTGAAATACGAAGTAAAATTAACATTAACTTTAGTAATACTTAATAGATCTAGGTTAATTTCAAAAACTGAATATAATATCCATTTCCTATATTTATGCAAAGTAATATGTTTTACACTGATAAGGAAAGTTATAAATACATTTAAACGTAGTAGGTATGAAGAAAGTAAAAAATACCCACTTGGAAATGAAATGAAAACGTATTATTAGTAAACCGAAGCGAAGTACATTCTTAATGCGCATTTGAGGTCTTTTGAGGATTCTCCTCGAGAAAGTAACCTATAATATGTTTAACACGAATTGCTGAAACAAATTAAAACTAAGCAGAATATCAATGTTTTTTCTCTTGGCTTCAGTTTACAAACTGATGAGAAAAGAAACAAGGCACTTTTGAAGGTTTAAATGTATTTTTAGTTTTTTTAAGTAAGCTTTTCAAATCTGTCATTGACGTTCGAGAAAATAACAGCTTGAAGGTTCAATTAACGACAGAGCAGAAGATCAATGTATAAATGACACAAGTTGTTCAGAGCCGTCTACCTCTAAATTAGCAGCTTTCGCTGCTGTAAAATTAGTCATCTGCTGAATACACAGTGTTACTCTAATTTACCTGCTGTAAAACTTCTATGTCGTTTATCTTTATAACATTCGTTATAAATTCGTATCTGTTTGTAGCGTAATCAATAACAACCAGAAAGCGGCTATTATAATCGTGAAAACAAGGGTAAAGTTCTAGTTCATTGATAACAAATATTTATTCACCAGACTGGTCAAAAATTGTCAATTACTAAGTGTCGTTTATCTCCACAATTCTGAACGAAAAAGTCATAGTGTTTGCATCTAAAAAGTACTTACAGATTGTCAGAAAAAAACAAAACAATAAAGAAACTGTACTTTTTTATTTCACTGCACATGTAAGTTTGCTCTATTTGTTCTTGAAAAAAAAAAGATTGGTTAAAATATTTCCTTATTTCGTTGTTCATGCTCGGTAGTTTACAAATTATTCTCAGTTTCAGTGATTCGGATAATAACTGCAATGATTCATAAAAGATCAGAATAGATGGCGACTCTATACGAAGAAGAAACAAGTGGAGTGTCAGTTACCAGAAATCAAAGGAAAGATATAAAGATGAGATTGCAGCTTACAGTAATAAAATAAAGATAATTTGATTATTTGCTAACCCATTTATATGAAGATTTTGTTTTAAGTTTAGCAGTATCTACATTTATATATTCAAAAGTCTTAGTGAGTGAGACTCATTTGTCACTCCAATGTTTCAAAAACGTCAATTAGAGTATTGGCAGAATAAGGTATGAATAAACTTTAGAAAACAGTCACTCCAAAAAGTGTAACCAGTGACAAAAAACCAGCTTGCGTAAACTTCAGTATGATTTAACAGCAAAGCTTCTTATATATCATAGGTATACTTGAACTAAAAAGAACTTACTCAAAGCATGTGGCTTTGCTACCTTGTAGTGCAATAAAATACTAAGAAAAAAATGTTGTGAAATTTAACGATCACAGAATGAGTAAGAAAAAGCCTAATCAATAGTGTTGGCGAAAATTTCATCAAGCACTTGAGAAGCCCAAACCCATAAATTTGAGCAAATAGCCAATTCCTATTTTTAGAAAAATAAAAAGAATCGCAACTGAAAACAAAATAGGTTTATAACTGAGATAACCATTGTAGAAAAATGTTCACACTAATTTATTGGGTTTTTTCACAGTGGTGTACAGTTGCATCGCTTATTTAAACTTTTGTGATTCTACGTCGACACGTTCTGTAACCTCTGAATAGAAAATTAAATAATAATGAGCAGATAAATTGGTCTTATTACTTTATTTTTGAAAGCATGTTCTCAAAAGCAAAAAAAATGATGTATTTTAATTGGTTTTTGAGATTTTAAACTTATATCTTTTGAAACTGCACAAACAAGCTTTAAAAGAAAGGCAAAGAAACAGAAGGCAGCATAAATGCTTATTATTGACAAAGCGTGTGAGTGGTAATATATGCAAAATAAAAAGAAGGTATAAGGTAAAAGCCATATTATTTACTAATGGGAAGGATTTTATAATCACGCTGCTTCTGAGCTGTGAAATGTGTCTGTCTGTTTGAAAGTATCTTTGAATAAACAGTGAAAAACATTTTGAAGGCGAGTTATAGCGGCTATATAAAGTTGATAAGAGTATTGCAACGGTTAGAAATTTTTGGTTTTGTGCAATATCATAACAGATAATGACTATCTAATTTAGCTACCTTTCAAATCAATGTTTAACAGTACTTCTAGTTTGAAGGAGTGACAGCAAAAAAAGTGCGCTAATATGTACATCAATTTTTGAACATAAACCTTTGTTGCACCCTTACTTATCTTTACTTTTAATCTTTTTTCAGTTCTTTTTCTTGCAAAAACTTAATTTTATATTATAATTAAGCCTTAGTAAGCAATTTTTTGGTGTAACCTAACAAAATATGTAGTGAACCTGCTAAAAGTAGTACTCAATAGGTTTCTGCACAAATTCCTTTTTTTTTTTTGCTTATTTAGTTAAAACTGTTAAAAAACTTGAATGTTTGAATTTTGATGTGTTAACAAAATTATCTGTGAATTTGTAAAATAATTTTCTAATTTCAGTAAATTGCTGTTAATTTATAAATTATTTTTTCTTTTTTATATTTTACGTCATAAAAAGTATGCCTTTTCACATTTACATAAATGATTGAAAAAAAGTTTGTTAAGAATTTCATTTTTTTCAGCACAACTTGAAGCGATCTTAGGTCTCTCCAGTTTTGCTGCTTTTTTCAAAATGTGTTTACTTTGACAAAACAAGTCTTTTTTCTCAATTCATGAACTGTTAATTAGATTTTTTTAAAATTATTCTTTTCTGTTTAAATTTTACTTAACTTTTGTTGCTATAAATTTGCAATTAGACTATAATTTTTCTTTTTTTTCTTGCCTTTAAATAATTCATTATTT